TAAAAAAAATATATGCGATGGGGGCATCAGCATTGATTGGATTGAATTGATATTGCCTCCAGATATTCACTAACGGAATAAAAACAGTTATCAATGAGTGCTTTTTTAATAACTGTCTTGAACGCATGCAAACCAAGACATCTTGCATTCATATCAATTTTATTGTAGAGGCTGAGATTCAATGTATTAGAATGTGATGATTTCAATCTCAACTTTAGTGGTCGCAGCTGGCAGCCACTGCGTGTTGGATAGCTGTGAAAATCAGAGTTCAGCTTGAACATTTCTTTATTTTTATGAATTTCAATGAGAGTTTGATATATGTAAATACAAGGTAGTGCCATTATCTTATGTTTGATGAAAATTTGCTTGCATGATTCATCAAAACGTGCTCCATCGATGATTCTCAGTGCTCTCTTCTGCAGTCGAAATGCTCGTATAGCCTGAGTGGAGTTACCCCACAGCAGGGTTCCATAGGATATGTGAGAGTGAAAAAGGGAGTGGTATGAGATAAGCAGTACATCAGTACTGACAATTTTTTTAAGTTTGCGTAACACAAATAGCTGACTGGACAGTTTATTGCACAAACTATCAATGTGGCTATTCCACTTAAGACCGTCATCAAGTATTATTCCCAACAATTTGGCAGTTGACCCATTGGTAAGATTTTTGTTAGAGGAGAATGTGATGGTTTGGGTTTTATCTTTGTTCATTTTCAGTTGATTTGTGTTAAACCAGAGTTCTGCTCTAGATTTCGTGGCTGTCATATGTGTTTTGAGTGTAATAAAACTCTGATGTGAATTGAGCAGAGAAGTGTCGTCCGCAAAAGCAATACACATATCTGGCAAGAGGAAGTTAAATATGTCATTGATATATATGGTCAACAATAGTGGCCCTAAGACGGAGCCCTGTGGAGAGATGATGCTGGATCTGATTCGCGAACAGCTAGTTCATGTTCATAGGCTCTATTGGAAATTCAATGTGAGTTCTGGGGCAGTTCAAACATGGTATTTCGTATATGCCCTGTGCTTCATTGGTTATCGTGTCCTTGGGTGTTCTCAACATAGTGGAGATTTGGTTGTTGGATGTGAATACTGTCTTTACGTTATGTTTCTTCAGAATTCGACTCACTTTGTCAGTGAATCCATGGATGTAGGGGAGAAAAGCTTTAGTCTGGTTGGTCTGTTCCTAAGGTAACTCGTGGGGTGGGGTTTGTGTTTGCTGTCGTTGGATGGATCGACGGAAGACGGGATAGTTGTTTTGGTGAAGGTCGGCTGTGATTTTGTATAGTTCCCAAATCTAAGTGATTCTTGAGAATGGCTCCAAAGCAGGAGCCGAAACGTCAAATCTCTACGGGCTCTGCCGTAAAGTCTAATGCAAATGTGTCTTCTCTCCTTAAAAGCCTAATACATTTTGGCACTCGGAATAATTCGGAAACTTTACTTGAAGTTTTGCTAGACATTATCTTTTCTCCGCCTATCACAGTCAAACACATTGTTTTGACCGTAATTATATTATATGATCATTTTTATGTCTTCCTTTTTGAGAAATATGATAATTTTTGAAATTCGAAATCATTTGGGATATTATCGATAGTCTCCTCACGGACTCCTACCTATGACTTTATGTTGAATATTGTATCAGAAGCATGGTCTTCTCGTAGGTTAACGTTATTCACTGGAAGAATTTCAATCATCAGAAACAGAAAAACTAGAGAATCTGACAACACCGCCCTCGTTTGCATACAATTTTCGCTACGTCAGAAAGTGTGGCCAGGAAACTGTGGCTAACTTCACACTAATGTTTTTTATTTGGAACCATTAAGTGAATATCGGACTCGAATAATATGAGAATTACTAATAAAAGTTTCAAAATCTGAGTATTGTGTTGAAATTTGGTATTTAGGGTCGAAACCGATTTTCAAGCAACTTTTTCAATTAACTCATTTCGGTTTCATGAACGCGAAGCAAAATATCGAGAAATTACCCTTTTCACAGCAACGCAGTATAGGCTGTATAAAAGATACCTATCTTAAGCTGGAAACGACTGAAATTGATTTATTGAAAACAATAACTACCACTTAAATTTTCATCTCATTGAATATTCAATTCCAAAAATAGCGAGTCAATTCAATTGTATTGTTTTGGCAGCTGACTGAAAGATTTATGTATTTTTAAAAGTTGTTCCGTTTATAATTGGAGCTGTATAGTGGCAACAGACCGGAAAACATCTGTTGAATACATAGTCTGGCAATAAATTGCGAGTGTGCATCGGATACATCATTTTATTTCACCAAATTAACCGAATCTGGAAACGATGAACTACAAATCCATTCACTCGGCCTCGGCGGATAAAGTAGAATATAGATTGTGACATTCATGATTTCGAATCTTGTATTGGTGATTATAATGACCGATATGTCTGTATTGAATCAAATTTAACTATTATTTTCAAGTAAGGTGAGATCTCAGTGACAATTTTTTGTTTCCATAGTTATTCTACCATCTTGATGGACAAAATTCTATAAAAAGTTCAATGTCTTTCATTTTAATTTATTGGTGTTGCTCTACTCATGTATTGATCCATATTTATGTCCATTATAGATATAGAGATACTTTAATACTACGTTATGTTGAAAACATTTGTAGCAAGTCACATTACATGAAATTGGTACATATAAGAATAAGGGCTAAAAATTACTTAACACTAATCTATAATAAGAAACTAGATGTTTAAGAACATTTACCTTCATAATAACTCATTGTTGTAACAATACAGGAAGCATAGTTATATTCGTTAATAGTGTGATCTGACTATTCATAGGTCATTTGAGTGCTTTCACATATCCCCTCCCCTCTCCGCTTCATCGATTTTAGCGGGATCTGACCGTTTGGCGGGAGTTGGTCGTGTTCCGCTTGATTATAGATTTCCATATGTTGCGTACCTCTACGCTAGCTTGGCTAAATGCATTGTTCGACAACATATATGCGGCTTCTTTGATTTTTTTTCTAAACCAGTGTTTCTCTTCGTGGATGATTTCAGCTTGAGACCACTTGATGTTATGTTGATGAGTTCAACATAGATTTTTTCATGGATTTCAAATCAATTTAAATCATATCAGACAATGGAAGTCCGAACTAAGGAATGCACCACGAAACATTGTCAACCACCGCCAAACTACCGGCATATTTCAAGATTCTAGATTCAGTAGCTTCGGCTGTACGTTAATATAAGAGTGTCAATCAATCAATAGGTACCCACTTATACAATTCTAGCTGTTTCCCGAGGTTTTATCCGCGTTGCCGTGGGAACCTACTCTACGTGTTATTCCAGGTCATGATCGATCTATATACCAACTTACATTTACATACATTACATTCATCCATCCTCACAAACTTTACGCATTCATAACATTAGTAGGAGTAGGATAAGTAGGATTCCCAGTGTATTTCATTATAATCCTTACAGCTTTTGTTTAGTGATGGTATTCAATATTATATAAGTGAGTACCTATTGATTGACTGACACTTCCATATTAACATACAGTCGAAGCTACTGAACCAAGAATTTTGAAATATGCAGGTAGGTTGTTTGTACAGCGTGAATGAGCATCAAGAAAACACATCAGGAATTCTAGGAGTTTGAAGATTCTATTGGATTTCGTCAGTTTTGAAGTTGAAAACCTAAGGTTTAGGGTTGATAAAAAAATATTGTAATTATTTGTCTAAAACGGTCTGTCACGAAACTTGATATGATAAACCAAATTCTACGCCAAAGGAAACCCTCGTTCATTGCGGGAGAGTTTTCAGTTTATTTGTACATCCCAATAGATGATGTTTTTATGGTAGGGGATTATCATGCTCATTTCGTATCCATAGTGTGACAACCCTTCATTCCAGCATTTTAATTTTTCAATGAATCTATTATATTCATTACACACTCTACATTATTTTGTAATTTCACCTTTTTTGCAGTTACTATGCTTCAGCAGCTTTTCCAGTGGGTCCTACCCGACTGGTTCCACCAATCAAACGACAAAGGCTGATGACAACCGCAAGGAATGGCAAGAACAATCAATCACAAAAGACAACGACGATTCCTCCACTCGATCAACTGAAAGTTTACAGTAAGTGAATTGTTTACTTGAATAAATATATTCAGTTAATCCTGAAATTTATTTCATGGTTGATATTCTGTTATATTCGATAACAGTCGAGTCTCCCAATAGTAGGTAGTTTCGAGTTCAACTTCGAATGTATGTGATAGTATGTAAAAGTATTTGTATCGGAATAACAGGGAAATCAAACCGAAAGTTGCATACGTACCTAATCACTCATAGAAAGAAAAAAGTATATGAGCTATACATATTCTGGTTCGAAATCCCATGCTTTTTCTTATGGTCCTTTATGGACCTCCAAGTGGAACCTTGTGGAACTCCCAACCTCATTTATGATACAGATGAGTGACATCGGTAATTCACCCTAAGAAAAAGCAGGGTGTTTTGAGACAGAATCTGTATAGCTCATATACTGAAAAAGTTTTCGGTGAATTCGAAATATTTCAGAATCCACTGGGTTATATCCTCGTTCATAATCGTACGAAAATTGATCACAGGAATAACAGAAACAGGAAAGGCAGCTCAGGTAATAGGGCTAAAACAGGTAGTTGAGCAAAAACAGGTAGTGGAACACAGGTAAATGGGAGCATCCATCCCTATACATTAAGACACAGAGTTCGGATGGATTAGTAGTGTGAGGAAGATTTTATCTCAGGGCACTCACCCCAGGGGGGCATGGGAAGTGAATTAGTATAGTTGTAAAACTCCAGACATCATCAGAAGATGGCAAATGAGACTTTGCCGAAACGTTGTGAAAATAATCCTTATGAAGATAAAAACAGAACAAAATGAATATCCCGTGTGAACTGAAGTCAGAATAATTTCAAATAATTTTTCATGCAAATGAATGAAGTTAAAAAAAAAATAAGAAACAACCCTATACAGCGATATTGTATGAGATGTGAGAATAAATTACGGCATAATAAACATTCAAAAGCTGATCAGTACTGAGTGTAGATGAAAGTTGCCGTATAACATAATAACCACAGTTCACTTCCTTCCTTGCATGACTCACAGCTGACTCCCAAGTCATGTTACTATCAACATAGGTACCAAGGAATTGTCTGACGAAATCACATCACGGCTACTTACTCTGACTCGAAAATCGGTAATTTTTCTGACAGTTCTAGAGTAGAACTGCATTAAAACAGTCTTACTGGGATTTACAACCAAGGAGTTTTTGCGGCACCAATCTGTAAATGCGACAAACAGCTCATTAAGTTTAACTTGGAGGAAACATTGAGTTATACGAAAGGAGTAACACTTTCAAAACTACTTTTATATAAACATTGATTTATAGATCAATGTTCATATCAAAGTAGTTGTTTCAAATCTATACATCTTTGTGAAACTTTATTGTGAAATTATTTGCTGTCATCAACTCCTAATTTTGAAAGTTTCCCACATTTTTGTACAAAGATGGAGAAGTAGAAAGCTAAAACGTTTTCTCTGTCTCAAAGTTTCATGCCTCCTGAAGAAAATACTCACTCCATTCAATTCAAATGAAATTTTATTTTATCATTTTCCATATTTTAACTTCCTTGTTGATTGATTCTCCTTCCTCCTCCGCCACTGATAATTCCAATACATATCTTATTTCAGACAATTAACTTACTTCCTCTTTTACAGGTAATCAAGACATATTGATCTGTGGCAACTGCAGAGAAATGTTTTCCGAGTTACACGATCTCCTGGAACACAAAAAAACCTACTGTAAATTGCGTTTCACCTGTAAATGTGATTCGAATAAATCTAGTAAGTCTTGCTTCTCTTAAGTTTGTTGTCTGTTTCCTGAACATTTTCTGTAAGACGACCACCTGTGCCTATTCGTAAATTCCCTCAGAATTAATCCCTAAATCCTACTTTATTACTTACCGGGATGCGAGTCATTCAAAGGGTTCCTAGCTGGTTAACCACTTAGGGCTTGATAACTTTTATCAACATACAATGGGCTTCTGACTGCTATCAGTTCGCTTTCCTCTTGAGAAACAAGGCCATTGTTGGGAAGGAAAGCCCCGTTGAACACATTATTATAACATGCATAACCATTAGTTTGATGAAAACATTTAAATTCTATGGATTGACAGTTTTTGTTCATTCATAAATGTTTCTCGACGGAACGAATAGAATAATACTAAAGAAAACAAACAGACAACCACCCATCAATGATAATGAGTATTCAAATATCATTTCATATCCACTGAACAGTTCACAAACCCGCAACACGTATTTACCTATACGGGATATGTTGAAAAAAATGAGATGAATTTGAATTTTTCTCAAAAAATTGATTTTTTGATCAATTTCTATGGTATCCCTTTCGAAGTAGTGCCTCTCAGATATAATACACTTGTGGCAGCGTTTTTTTTTCCAATTCTCGAAACAATTCTGATATGCACTTTTCAGTATGTCCTTGAGCTCTCTCAGCTCTTCGGTTTTTATCTTCTCAATCGTCGTAAAGCGCCGTCCTTTCATGGGACACTTTGAACTTCGAAACAATTGAATTCAATTGAATATTGAGATTTAGCTTCATTGCTGCACGATGTAAATTTGAGTAATATTTTCCTTTGAAATTTTTATTATCAACTTAAAACGTCAAAATATGTTTGAAAATCGTCTCAGGAATACGTCACTTGAATATTTTGATGTACTTATGTTACACCCTGTATAACTAATTTTCAATTCTTAAACTACCTTCTCATCTCAAATTTTCATTAAAATAGCATATCACTCGTCACTTCAAAATTGTAATAACACAGTTCAAATGACTTCAATAGACCGTATGCTAAACTGGATTGTATATTTGAATGATTAGAATGGAATAAAATTCATATATATTAGGTCCGACTTCCATTGCCAAAAAAAATGTTAACATACTCTGAAATATATTAGAAAAGGGGGAAATATTATTAATATAATGCAGGTTATAAAAAATACTAGGAATGAAATATTCAAATTAGTTAATTGAAGAAATGAAAAAATATCTAATAATTTAAACAATAAACAATCAGTTTGAATCTCAAAAATATAAGGACCCTAATTTGTAGGTATTGGTATTGTAGTCTGAAATGGAAATTTATTGATGAATTTGTCGAACAAAAGTTGAAATAAAAATAATATATAAACAATGGGAACAAATAATGAAGTTTTCGAATGGATACATGAATAAAAATTATGGAAAATTGAAGAAATGAGAAAAAAGATTTGAAACGAAGGTACCTCACGACGTTTTGATTGTAGGTATCTACATTCATCTTCAGATAATAAATTAAGACTAGAGTGGTAATTAGATAGAAAAAAAAGGAAATTCAGGCGACTTTAACGTTTCAAAATAGGATAAACATATAGGCTAATATTTTAATTTTTTTAACTCGTCTGACTTGTTCATTTATTCAAAATCTCAAGGAAATACTGCAGATCCTTACGTTTTTCCGTATTTGCAACACAGGCAAAATGTCTCTAATTCATTCTTGCATTATCTGAAATTAAGGTCTCGTTATTTGGTTCATGAGTCTTTCAAATGGATGTTAACCGTTGGGAATTACTCGTGAAACGGTAAGACCTCGTTGATCTTTAGCTTGCAGGAGTTTTGAATCCTGAGGCTTGTCGTTCGTGAGGGGGCGACAGATTGTTAACAAAAAAAAAACTATTTTTTCAAACAGAAATAACCTTCTCATTCTGACCCCTGTTTAGTCGAAACAGTTCTTCAGTTCTTTGAGTTGGATCTTCCATAATTGTTTTTCGCATTTTCTGATTTTGTTCTGCATCAATGATGTTGATTGCTCGATAATCGATTCAAAGCCCATATATAGCTAATGACATTTGTCTGACATGAATGTAGTCGTGATATTCAATCTATTTATGTTTATCATTTCATCCAGTTCTTTGATATTTCCAGACCAACCGAATGTCACTCTTGAGTTTATCGTGAAAATATGTAATGAGCGTGAGTTGTATAGATATTTTATGGAGACTCTACCTCGAACATCTCATCAAATATCATTTCTCTTTTTCTTGCGACATGCCTAATCTTTCCATCGCCATTCGAACACTGTCAGTGTGTTTTTTCATCTTCTTCTGTCTCAATATAAAAGGGGATATACTCTCGAACACTTTTGTAATGTTGAAGCGATTTTCCAAAGGTTTACTACTGAAATAATATTGAATTTTTCAATATCATTCACGTAACTCCACCTCCTACTCCTCGAGTCCGTACTTACTCCTCACTCCTTACTCATTACTTCCCAACAACACATGAAATTGGAAAAAAGTTGATAGTAATGGTGATAGTTCATACTCTGCTACACTAAAGATTTTTTTTCTTTATTTTAGAATCCCCCGATGATCACTCTTCTGCGTCACTACTGTGTGTTCAATGTAAAGATTCTTTTCAAAATGCTTGGGACTTAATGGTTCATGCACAAGCGGCACATATGTTGAATATCTACGAATTAGGAATACCTGCGCATGGAAACTGTTCGTCTTCACCTACGTCTCCTAGAGACAACCATTCTCCAGATAAGGTAAGTGTTAAATGTATGTTTCTCAACATCCAAACTGGATAAATGAATCCAAAACAAATACTGTTCCCAAACACCAGAACTGTTACACTCGTCTCACGTAGTACTAGTATTCTACTTGCTCTCCTGAAAACGCTAAAACGCGTGTCTAGATACAGCTTATCAAATGTGAGAAGAGCTTTAAAATTTTGATATGGCGTCTATTTCTAGATTTGACAAGCTGTATGTTTTGCGGTTCTGGCGTTTTGGGGCAGTAATTATTGTTTTGGTTTAATTTTAGTTCTACTTTTTACTATGGATAAATGCTGTGGAGAAAAACTGAAGTTACAGAAATTTACCATGATTTGTTTTACATCGATGATGACTTCTTAATAAGTGAAATTCGAAACTTCTGGCGTGAACCAAGTTGTTAAGGCGAGAGAAAACTGTTTTCAAAAGGTGATGACCTCTGTTTTTGTGGATATCAAATGTCACATATTTTCCCAATGATATTATCAGTCTGTTTTCCCTTTCCAGTTTTTGATAACAATGTATTGATAATTATTGCCAACTGCACTAAGTAATGAATAACTTCGGGGAATCCAATTGTGTTACGAAGAAATTCGCAAACCTAACACAACCGTCTACAATGTCTGTCCTCACGTGTCTGTCCACGTTCGAGTCGCATTCTCGGTGATGGCGTTTCATTGCTTAGACCGCCCCTCTACCCTCGCGCATTGTCTCCCGTCGTCTTAAAGTAGGCGCGATGCGTAATGACTCACTGCGTTAATTTTATCGTGATAACTTTCAAACCATTCGTCCGTTATATATATGAAATATCAAAAATACGCAATTGTATCAATTTTTATAAGAATATGACATATATTCGAAAATGTGCATTTTGAAAAAAGTATCCAATTTAATTGTATTTATGGCTCAGTATCTTCCATACGGTGGCTACCGCATAAGAGATAGATATATGCTATCACGGGGTTTTATTTAGAACTATTTAAGATAAACATTCTTACGGTGTCTACATTATCTGCATGTAACTCCAACGATATAGGCAGCGCACGCTCTCAGGGAACAAGAATTTTTCCGTCTCACTTAATACTTATTGTTATATTATGACCAAAATCACACAAAACCTTTGTAATTCTAAATCCGTTCATTACTGGAGTCAAGTCGCAACACCAAACCGTTATTTGTAACACTTCGACACGTGTTTCAATTACCAAGTGACCATCTTCAAGAGGAAGAATAATCAAGATGTATAATCTTCCTCTTGAAGATAATCCATTGGTGATTGAAACACGTGTAGAGGTGTTGAAAATAACGTTTTGGTGGTGAAAGTAAACTCCAGAAATATTTATTACTACACCAAAGGTTCCAAACAGTGCATCACAAATAAATCCGTTCAGTCGTTTAGGCGTGAAAGAGCCACAAACATACATTCATACATACTTTCACATTTATAATATTGGTAGGATATATTGATTTGTTTATTGAATAAAACCAAACCTATAGGAAAATTAATAAATACGACACGTTACTGTTGAACACAGCATTTTACGCAGTATTGGAGCAAACTAAAAGTTTTCCTTTTCCACACCTGTATACAGTTTCTCTGTTAATAATTCATCAACGATAACTGATAAAGTTCAGTGTACAATTTTCATTATGTGTTTCGCTATGTAATAGCTTCCTCAGGCGAGAATGCAATCTTCTCGCTTGAATTTTCACTGAAAATTGATTTTTATTAAATATTGGCCATTTCGATTCAACCGATTTTTCATTTTCCAGATTGAGGACGATAAATAGCTCTAGAAACAATCAGTTGTTGATTTATGACCATGATTTTACAACTTTCCTTTTTCTTTTTCAGCATATTTGGTTTTGTTGCATGAGTAGTGTTCGATATAATGAAGAAGTAAAATTTCAATTTGATTTAGCTTTTTTCACCTTCTCGTATGTAGTATAAATCATTCGCTAGTATCACTGAATAGGAACCCTCAGGGTTTTTGCGCCCTGTGATGTTAATTTGAAAGCAATCGCCACACCTCAGGAAAGTTTGACACACGTCACCACAAAACATTTCAAAAAGTTCGCTCAAAATTCACAGTAACCGACTCACATTTCCAAATTATTATGAGTGACCCAACCCCAATAAAAAGTGATTCCGATGTCAGTTCAAACTCTTCTTGGGAAGTGATAAACGAATCCGACAATTCATCTCACAGTTCTCTGGATGATCTGCTCGACGAAAAGAAGCTGGACAATGACAACGTCACTGGAGAGATTTACAAAGACGTCAATGAAGACACTTTCGTCACCATTCCTGAAGTTGAAGTAGACCTTGAAGCTCAAGCCGACACCAGTGATTTCCGTGTTATCGATGAATCGTCAGAAAAAGACAATGTCCATCACAAACTTAAACATGCTATTAAAAAAAGGTGGTTCAAAACAAGAGGAAGAAAAAAAACTATCCCCACATCTTTGAGTTCATTATCCATAATTGTTTCAGTCCTCACACTCACAGGCCTCAGTTTTTTGTGTTTATTATTCCCAACCACCAACGAATCCAAACCTATTGCAGAGTTACAGGAAGCGTTTTCGAAGTTATCAAATATGCAGGCACAAAAATTTGAAAACAACTTCAATAACAGTCTTGAAATTTTCGACCTACCTCGATTAGAAAAAAATTTCATGAACTATCAACACATAATGACAGATAATTCAAGTTTTAATGAAGACGAATTATGTGCAGTTGAAGAAGAATTAGATAATATCACCAAAGCGTATGAGTTACCTGTCAACTCGATGAATAAATTAATGAAAAATGTCATGAAATCCTCAAAACAATCCAATAATAATAATGAAACTGGACAAAAAACTTTTTCCCGACGAGGTGTTCGTAACGAAACTATATCTATAATTAGAGATCTAAAAAAAAATTTATGGAATCCACGACTTCACATACTCTTGTGTACAATAATGAAGGACCTCTATATTCTGAAACTAATCAAAGAATTAGATGGAAATCAAACCCTGAGTGAAAAATCCAAAGATAAGATTGCCAAGAGGATCAAGAAGGGTTCAAAGAAAGTTGAGAAAACCAATAAAATCAAAAAAGATATCACCAATAGGCTGAAACTAAAACAGAAAACACTGAAAAAGAAGGCCGCCAGTACAAAGATAAGTAAAAGTGAACAACCCATGACAAGTTATTCAAAATTATCCTTCGAATATCAACAACCTTCCTTGGCGAAAGCGGACTCTGAGGTAGAAAAGCAGCTGAACACAAAATTTGATAACGAGAATGGAAAAAGTGAGTGCGAGAGGAGATTTCAGGAGCTGGACTTCAGATGGGAATCAGTAGGGCAGAACCATCGTCAGAAAATCCAACAAATCAAAGAAAAATTCAAGCATGAGCTGAATCAAGTTAGAGAAAATGAGAAACAATTGCCAGTAAGGAAAGAAAGAATGAAACTCATCAGAGAAATATACATCCAACGGCTAAAAAACGACAGAGAGAGATACTTATATCACTTAACGAAATTGCGAGATGAGCGACATAAGCTTATGAACGATATTTGCCGGAGAAAAAAGGCAATCAAAGACTCTAGAGATGCAGCAGTAGGGAATTATGCAATTTTATTACCAGAAACCTATAATTTCCAGCAAAAGTTAGAAAATATGAGGAATCGGGAGTATTCTAAAGAACTCAACGTATCCTCCTTCGTAACATCATCGTTTCCGTCTTTGAGTTTCGAAAAATTGAAAGTTTTCGGTGGAAATGAATCTAGTCCCAGCATCCTAGAAAGTGATGGTACATTCCTCATCCCAAATCAGACACGGGATAATTATCACAAAGAGAGAGTACACAATTACTATGAAAGTAAAAGTAAATATTTAAGAAAGAAGTCCAAAAAAGATAACACATCGAAAGATTTGGTAGGTGCAGAAAACACCACTGAAACCGATACCTTGCGATATAATGTTAACCCAGTGAGTACACCAGTTTTCAAAAATTCGGTGATTGAAAATCTAGAAGCAGAAAATGGAGAACAATCTACAAGTGAAACGGAACCTCTGCTTGAAGATAGAACTCTCGAATCAAACCGTAAAAGAAAAAATAAAAATGAAATGTATGATTTACTTTTCGATGAGAATGGAGCAAGAATCAAGAAAGCTGAGTCAACCAAGCAATACAAAATCAAAAATCAGCTTTCAATTCCAATTATAAGTAAGCAAAGTTCGAAAACATTTCCGAAGAAAATAATGCTTTTCAAAGGCAGGCTTTAAAGATAAAATGTAAATTTACAACATTAAAAATAATTTCTTCCGCTGAATACCTGGATGATGAAGGAGGAAAGCTATCGATATATTTTTTGCCGAACCCATGCCAAAAGTTGATATTATTTTTTTATCATTCATAATAAAGTGAGCAATCTTCATTTTTTCTCTCAAATTGATATCAAAATATCAAATTCCTTCTCCTTCTTCTCTTTTTCTTAAGGTATTTGAATCAGGAACTGAAAATCAAGAACTCATGATGCTCATTATGATTATTATTCATACCAGAAAATATAAACAGACGGGTGTGACGTTTATTTAAACAACTCAGATGAATTGAACATGTTTACTTTGATATGTAAAATGCAGAAGGTAATCATTATGAAATGATATATGAAATTTCAGTCCAAATTTCAATTAGGTTAATATACTAGGTGATCGTTTCTTATACGGATACGGAAATATTCACGAAAAAGGTTACTGATTTTAAAATTGAAAATCTCACTGTCCAATATTTTAATGAAATTATATAAGAGTGATTTCAGAGAAAAGTGGTCTGAGATATTTCAAAAAGAACGATTCATTCGAAGTTTGTCCAATTCACTTCCACTGACGGAAGTTATGAACAACTTTGTCATTTCAAATATTTTTATGAAAAGTTTTTCTTTACTTTGTGTAAATCATCTACCTAATTCCCTTATTTTTTTAAATAGTATTTATTCAATTAT